CGCCCTCCTGCCTCCCCTGCTCTCCTCTCCTCTCCTCTCCTCTCCTCTCCTCTCCTCTCCTCTCCTCTCCTCTCTCCCTTCAGCAGAGCATAATTTTATACCTCTTTCTTGAGAATGCCAGGGCTGGACAAGGTACTACACAGTTTTTTGACGAATTATTAGATGCAGGCAGTGGATGGATGTTTCATGTCTACTATCCTGCTGGGAAGAAAGACAATGGGAGTAAGGAAAAGGATGAAACGAAAGAAATCAGAAATTAGTCTATAGTTTAGGTGTGTTAGGGATTTTTCCTGTGCAAGGTTAGCACTGATTTCTGTCACTTGAACATTGATTCGAGGCATGTCCATACTTTCCTGAGGGCAGGTGAGTTTGGTTTTACTACTGAATCTTGTTCACCCCCTGCTTTCCCTGCACAAGGCAACGTTCCTCCCTGGGGCTTTATTGACCGCTAGGCTGGCAGAGCAGGTGGAAAATTATTATCCCACACTTTCATGCCAGTGTCCCAGCAGGTGTTGGCTTTTCCAGGCAAACCTGTTTTAAGTGGATTCCTTCTGGCCTGACTGATCAGTTGTGGAGGTCTTGAGATTCTTGCTCAGGAGCAAATGCTCCTTTTTGTTCCTTGCTGGGCATGGCACACAGGCAAGGGACTACAGCAAGTGTGAAAACACACCTCCTGCTGTTGCAGGGCTGCTGCAGAGAGCAGCAAACAGCCCTACACACAGTGCTGCTGCAAGACACTGACTGTAGCTGGCACTGCAGGGCCCAGAGCAGGAGCAGCCCAGCTGTGCCTGCAGAGCACCTCTCCCATTGCACACATGCATGGGTGCTAACAGTAGCAGCAGCTGCTTCCCAAACTTTCAGGGCCAGAGAGATTACATGATCCTCCATATGGTAGAAGGAAAGTGTACAAAAAGCAGGGCTCCATCTTCAGGATGATAAATAAATGGTAAAAACTCCAAGGAGCAAGGGCATGCACTGTTAAAATGCTGCGAGATAAAGCCTGGGACTCTTGACCACATGCTGCTGAAGTAGGAAGTCCTGGGTCTGACCAAGATAGAGAGACTGGCCATCGGAGTGAGGGGAGTTCCCTCTCCATACCTGCATGGACTTCTGTTGTGTTTGCAGGGAAAAAGCAAATTGCACCTGAGCTAAAGAAAAAGAAGGGCAGGGGATGACAGTGTGTTTCCTCATATAGGCACTAGAATACCTGTAGCCATAGCACTGTCCATCTTTGCCCACCCAGCCATTTGCTGAGCTCTGAGCTTGCCTCTTTTTGTCTCTTGCAGAGCTCCATCGCCACGAGAGCATCCAAGAGAAGAACGTGAAAGAAGCCAAAACTAAGTGCAGAACCATCGCCTCCCTGCTGACAGACGCTCCCAACCCCCACTCCAAGGGGGTGCTGATGTTCAAGAAGCGCAGGCAGAGGGCTAAGAAGTATACACTGGTAAGCTTTGGGAGTGTCGACGAAGACCGCTCCTACGAGGAGGAGGACGGAATTTTTCCAACTAGTGAGTCCGAATTTGATGAGGAAGGTTTCTCTGATGCCCGAAGCCTAACAAATAACTCAGACTGGGACAACACTTACCTGGACATTGAAAAGTCCAAGTCTGACTCTGAACAGAAGGAAGAGAAGCAAAAAGGCTTGAGTGAGGCCTCAGGCAAAGGGGCACGATTATTTGAGCAGCAGAGGGAACGGGCTGGGAAGTACACAGTTGAGAAAGCCCCGGCACAGAAGAGCCCCCAGCTTGCCCCAGCTGCCCAGCCGCAGCAGGGCACAGTGAACGGAGATATGCCTGTGCCACAGAAAGTAGACAGCGTGCCCCTCAGCATCCACCTGGAAGGTGTACAAGTGCCTGGCAAGCAGCCAGCCACCCTTCCTGCTCAGCTCCTGCCTCCCACCAGCCCCACTTTCTTTCCACCTCTGCCAAGCACCCCCGACCCCTTCTCTGCAAGCACAACGAGCATGTTCAACAGGTCTGCACGCCCCTTTACTCCTGGCTTTTCTGGCCAGCGCCCAGCAACATCCTCTGTCATCTTCAGGCCATCTGCACCCAAAAAGCCTAGTGAAAGTCTGGGTGGGCAAAACACGGTGGTTCCCCCTTTCTCACCTCTGGCTCCAGGAACACCTGCCAATGCACCAGTGTCAACACACCACGGTCCAGTCAGCTCCTCCACATCTCTGTATATTCCTGCACCAGGAAGGCCAACATCACCACTGGAGCCACAGCCAAGAGGGGGACGAAGTGCTCCAGAGACTAAGCCTTCTGCCAACACAGCCCGAACATCCTCCACCTCTATCTTTCTGTCAGCTCCCTCAAAGCCAGGAGGGGAGGTGTCCTCCGCAGCATCCCAGGCACGAGTCCCTGGAACGGCCTCTTCTTCTCTGTATATTAGTCCAGCACCATCACAGCACATGATAAGCAGTTCCCCTGTGCCAAAGCAGCCTTCTCCTGCTGTCTCACCAGCAACGCCACGACCTCCTTCTGAGCCCTTAACCTCCAGAGAGCAGAGGATTGCCGTGCCGGCTCCCCGCACAGGCATCCTGCAGGAGGCTCGCCGGAGGGGCAACAAGAAACCCATGTTCAGTAAGATTGAAGAGAAGAAGAAGAATTCACCAAACCCTGAGCTCCTGTCTCTGGTGCAGAACCTTGATGAGAAGCCGAAAGGTGACCACCCTGGGGCAGGCTTTGAGTCTGGGCCTGAGGAGGACTTCCTCAGCCTGGGTGCTGAGGCCTGCAACTTCATGCAGTCCTCTGGCCGCAAGTTCAAGACCCCACCTCCAGTGGCTCCCAAGCCTCAGCAGCAAGATGCTGGACTGGTAAATGGGGTCCAGGACATGCCTCAGCTTAAAGGCAAGGGGGCAGAGCTCTTCGCCAAACGCCAGAGCCGCATGGACAAATATGTGGTGGAGACAACACCGAAGCGAGAGTCCAAGCCCAGGACCCCCTCTCCTTCCCCTTCTCTACCCTCATCCTGGAAATATTCACCCAACATCCGGGCTCCCCCTCCAATAGCTTATAACCCAATGCATTCCCCTTTCTATCCCCTGGCAGCCAGCAAATCTCAGGCTAGCAAAGCAGAGAGCAAAGTGAAGAAGGCACCTGGCCAGAAATCAGGGATCAAGGTCATTGATTTAATGCGCCACCAGCCCTATCAATTAAAGTCAGCCATGTTCTGTTTTGGGGATCCCCCAGGCCCCAGCGTTCAGGAGCCTGCTGGTCAGCCAGCCTCACAGGCTGGCTCATCCTTCACAGCAGCCAAGCAGGTCCCTGTGAAAACAGCCAAGACCCAGGAGATTCGTCGCTTCTCCACTCCGGCTCCCATGCCAGCCTCAAGCAGCCTGGCACCCACTGTGCTTGTGCCCCGCTCGGCCACCACGTTGGATGAGCCGGTGTGGAGAACAGAAATGGCCTCTTCTGCTCCCGCTACACCAGCACCCTTCCAGGTGGAGCTCAGCCAGTCCCCTAAGCCATACCCGAGCTTCCCAGAGCCTGGTCAGGTGAGCCAAGGGCTTTCCCCAAACCCAGCCTCGACCTCTCGGTTTCAGGTGGCCAGGCCCAAATTCTCAGCAGCGAGAACGGGGATGCAGGCCAATGTGTGGAGGCCGAGCTTTGGTCACCACTGAGGCAGCCACCCCTCCCGTCCCATCTGAGGCCCTGCAGAGATAGTGCTCGTTTTGTCTTTCATGTCAGCTCAGTACATTGGGATGAGTGACACAAAATGAAGAAAAGAGAAAAAAAATTACTCCCCTTCTGCACCACCCTCTTCCCCAGCCTCCCCTTGATCTCAGATGGGCAGCTTCATAGCAAGGCTTACTGGCTGTGGCTACAGCAGGAGGAAGAATGTGGAGAGAGGGCACATGTGTGGTACACAGAGACTGGGAGCTGCAGGCAGCAGCAAAACCCACTTCTGAAGGGGGTGAATGGCATGGGTTGTCTCATATGAGGACATGTAGGCAGTAATGGTTTTCCTTTCCCAAGGGTTTTGAAGTCGCCCCTAAACGGAGGGAGACTGGGAGGGCAAGAGCTTTCTAGGAAGAAAGGGTCAGAGGTGGGATAAGAGTACAGAAGCCTGAGCTTCCCCTAAGACTGCTTTTCTCTGAGCCTGTTAGCCTGCACAGACGCACCTGTGTGCACACACAGCAACACCCAGCAGGGAGTGAAAGTAGAAGTGGGGCTTCACCTTCTGGACTCCCCTCCGGAGGGGCATGGGAAAGGAGGTGAGGGAGCAGCATGGGCGGGGGTGCTGGCACACGCATGCATGGGCAGTGTGCCCTGCGCAGGAGGGTGGCCATGCCTGCCCGTTCCTCCAGTCACCAGAGCTGGGTGTGAAAGAAGGAGACATCCTGGCTGGTGCTAAACATGGCTATCAGGTCTGGGAGCAGTTTGCCAAAGAGGGGCTTTGAATGGACTCGGTGGGGCTATCACAAACTGGAGGAACTGCAGAAGGAAGTATCCTAAATTTTTGAGGATACACAAAGTCAAAGCTAAGCTCAGACAGTGGCTGGCTGGTGCAAGGAAGGCCCAGCAGCATTAGTCCCACTGGAACAGGATGCAGATGCTGTAAGTACAAAGGAGGCTTGTGTGGGAGAAGGTACAGCTGGCTTTAAAAGGAGGCAGGATTGAATATGCATTTGCACATCTTTTTTTTTTGTTTAGTTTAGGACAGAAGCGTGGGTAGATTGGAAATGGGTCATGACATAAAACTTGCTGAATACTCTGTGATGAGCTGGAAAATGGAGGCCCTTTACAGAAGCTCTCAGTGTGGAAGTGGAGGACAGGGACAGAAAGCCACAAGTAGAATTTCATACTAAATGATTTAAGTATCCTTGGGGACTGTTTGGTAAGAACTGAAGTGCTCTGAGAGTCCCAGAGGATCTGCACTCACACACACATAGAGAGCTCAGTTTGCTGGTGATGCTGGGGAGACAGGACTGGTTATTTCTTGAATGTCCCAGGCTGGCCTCAGACTTAATCCCTACACTAAAGGCACACAAGAAGAAAGCATTCCCTTTCCCAGGGAAGAATTAAGGATATTAGTAGGTACTCTGCATGTGTGTGTGCATGTCATCTGTACTCTGGTTTGCACACACCCCTGCCATTTGCTTTCCACCTGTGCTCCCCCTTCTGCAGCAGCCACTTTTACAGTGTGATCCCACCAGTACACCAAGAAAGCATTGCTCCCGAAGCGCTGGTTTCCAAACACAGCAGATGCCCCAGCTGCAGAGAAGGCGCTGGCCACCACTTCCTGGGCAGGGGTTGTCCAGCCTTTGTTAGACCTCCAGGAATGAGTACTGGAGACAGGATCAGGGTCTCACAGCCCTGCCTCAGACATGTCTCCATCTCATTAGATTTGCTGCTCTTCTTCAAGCAGAAGCCATTCCCTGACTGGACGGAGCACAGACTTTGGCTGTACAAAACTGTAGGTTCTGGGGAGGAAAAAAGGAGCGCGAATAGGGCTGATGCCAAGTCTGTAAGTAGTACAGCTAGTGTGGTTTCACACTAAGTCCAAGCCAACCTTACTCCATACAGGTGGATCTTATGATGTGCAGCTCTTTGCATGAAAGCTTGGGGCTCTACTTTTTCTTGGAGGCTCTAAGGTGCTTCTCTGTGAGCACTCTGTGGCTGACCCAGAGGAGGTGCTGCACCTGGTTGTATGACATAGCAGCAGCAGACCTCAACAGCTGAGGTGGCTGTATGTGTTCCTGCAAGGCCCCAGAGTCTTGGGACAAGTCACCACAGAGTTAATTCCAGTCACCAGAATCCACTTAGCTCTAGTGAAGGGGAGCAGCCACGCTACAAAACCCAAACTTGGACGATTGCTTTCTCACTCATCCTGTGCTGCACTGCATTGCCAGGGTTTCTGGAAAAATATCCTATGTGCTTTAGCAAGCTCAATCTCTGTGATTCTTCCCAAACGTGGAAGGAGTAATCTTCTATTTTTCTAGGAAAGCTGTGGGAAGGAACCAAAGGACTAGCAGTGCTCCAAAAGCTTTGTCTCTAGTCTCCTTGTGGAGTGCTGTCTGCCACTGGCTAGGGGTTTTAGCCACTCACCTTAGAAGCATCGCTGAACTCAGGCGCAGAGAGGGGTTGTGTGGACCAGAGAAAGGGTGCTCAAGATAATGCTGCAGTGAAGAAATAACCTCAGGAAGTCTGAATCTTACTCCAGTGTCCCTTTCCCTCAGGCCCGTAAAGGTAAGTGCTCTCAGGGCCTGAGTGTCTCAGGAAATTCGTTTTACCACTGGGAAAAAGAGAGGTCTAGCCTTAGCAAGTAAGGAAGATTGCACGTGGTTACTATTTCAGTGGTCCCACTCCAGATTTTTGGGAGACACTGATGCAAGCCAAGGACTGATGGCCAGACACTGCTGCATGTTAGATGTCACGACCTACATGATTGGAGTGACTGCATTTGGTCCATCATTTCTGATAACGTAATGGGCGGGAGATGAAATAAAGTAAGGTTCAACTGGAGAATTAATAATAAGCATCAGAGCGAGGAAAAGAACTGGGAGGCTGGGGATCCCGCATTTCACTTCAACATCCTTGGTTCCAAGCTATGTGTAGAAGCAAAGCCAAAGTAGTTTGATGGATCTCAGCCCCTCCCAGTCTTTTTTGGGTCCCATGCTGACACAGGACATGATCTGCTGAAGCAGAGGGTGTTGCAGATGAAGCCTACAGTGCTTGTGGAGTATCCCAAATGAGGCCAGTGGCTGAAAGTAGCATGAGATGAGAAATAATACTGAGGTGCATCTGCTAAGCTATAAGGAAGAAACCTGCACTACTGCTGGCTTCAAGAAGCTCTGCTAGTGTCTGCTCATGGAAATGTTGTGGCTGGCCTCTTAGAAAGGTCACAGGTGAGGTTACAAGGAACACTTTGAACCATATAAGCTTGTCTTGAGCCTCTCCAAATTTCTAATTCTTCAGCTGTTGAACAAACACAGATACAAATAGTTGTTTTACAAGTTTTAGCTCCCATCTGCTAAGTTATAAGCTGCAGTGGTAGGCCAAACCCCAGAGACCCCTTGTTAAGCATGTGAAGATGTCTGTATGGGCTCTGATTTAAAACTTCCTATCATCCTTCCTCTCTAAGTGTGCTGCAGGTAACACATTGCACCTATGGCAATCCTAGGGGTTTATCTTTGATTCAGATGTATCAGTCCTTTCCCACTTGCCAGAGATAACCGTGAGATCCTGCCGCAGCTGAGAGGAAGAATCTTGGAAGAGCCTGGTGTGATGAGGGGTCACAGATCGCCAGACATGAGCAGAGTGCAAGCCAAGATTGTCCCTTAGAAAGAATGAGCTCCCTTTTTGCTATCATATCCAGCATCTCCTGCCAGACCCTCCCCCTAGAAGACACTCCTCAGTGCTCTGAAAATGGGAGCCCAGCAGCAGTGCTCTGTCTGATGGAAGATGTGACCCCAGAAGGAGAACAGAGCTGGCATCTTTGTTTATAGAAGTACCTTTTTTCCTTTTCTGTTTTGTCTTTTTTTTTTCAATTTATAGTCACTTTCTATTTGTTTGTGCAGAAGAATAAACTTGTGATATGCACTTTACATGTGGCATTTTTTCACCTTCTTTGCTTGGCACCCAGAAGTAACTGCTATGTGTACAGCACATGCAGTCAGCACTACCAACAAACTACTAAGGCCAAGAGAATATAAGGAGTCCAGAACAGGATTGGATGTCTCAGCAATAAAAAACAACTAAGTTGGACTTAAAATCCCTATGCATTAAAAAAAAAAAACAACCCATGCGAGCAAAAATTTAAGTGAGATCCAAAACTTTGGTACTAGAGGCTACGACTTAAAATCCCTATGCATTAAAAAAAAAAACAACCCATGCAAGCAAAAATTTAAGTGAGATCCAAAACTATGGTACTAGAGGCTATAAAACACTCATTGACAGGGTGAAGAAATTTCTTTATGGGCCGTCCTCAGCTGGTCTGCCCCAGCCCTGCCCCTCAGCCTCACCTAAACACTACCTTCTGCTTGTAGATTTGGTGTCAAAAGAAGTTTGTCATCCCTGGTAAATCCAAATATAAACTCACATTGAATAATTCAACTTAATATTAACTAAGAGATCAGAAAACCGAATCAGTCAGAAAATCAAATATATACCATTGTATCCTCAGGTTCCAAGCCTAATCCTAACTCTAATCCTAATCCAATTCATGTTAAAGTCTACTCAGTTTCTGGGTCCTGAGGGGTTCACTGTGCTCAGTTTAGGACAAGTGTTAGCAGGTCACCTTTCCCAGACATTTGTCGCTCGCAGACAGCAATTCCTAACCACTGCAGGAATCGCTGGGAGCGGCTGTAGGACTGGACTGCAGACTGTAGACACTTGTCCAGGTATCATTTGGGGGATGTTTTTCAGATTAATTACAAGGAGGAGTCCCTCATGCAGTGGTCTGGAGGTGGGTCTTGGGACTATCCAGCTTATTTCTGATTGATTTGCAAACAGTACATGTGCAAAGGGGCAGCAACGTTTGCTGATGCCAAACCTGAGCTTCTGTCCAACCAGAAACACAGCTCCCAAGAAAATCAGTCTACAGATGCACGGGCTGCAGATTAGGACTGCATCTTGTTTTGCTTAATAAAGCTGACATAGTAGGATTATGAGGTACTCC